AAACAGTACAAGTCGTGTTAAATTTATTTACATAACTAAACAAAATGATTATAGAATTAAACCTTTAAGAATTGAATGCTCATATGAAACATTTTCCACCTTAAATACACACGTGTTTTTCAGAAGGGAATTTAGTCGAACTTTTTTCACGATGGAATTTTGTTTTGAGTCGTTTCGACATAAACAGTCGCTATCAAGACATTACACGAAAAACCCCAGTCACCGTTCTAGCTCTCGTTGTAAGGTCAGAGCTAGTAAATGTGTAACTGGCCTGTTATATAACGTCAAATCGTCGAGCACGCTTGCGGCTTATTGCCGATTCAAATGCGACAAAGAATGAACTACCGTTGTTTGTACCAAAAATAACAAACGCTTTAACTCTATTGGAATACGTGGACCTAAGCTGCTCTAGCTCTTCCAGTGATGTTGTAGATACCTCAAAGCTTAGAGGAAACAAGAGCTAAGAAAAATGATTTGCAATGGTTCCTCCTAAGATACATTGGACTTGAACGTCGCTTCAACGACCTTCTGAAGTCTTCGTGAAGTCGGTCATTGCTTCGCATGCAATGGAGAACCCGCGTAGAACACAGAACAATTATTTCTATCAGGGAGGGGAGTCTCGTGGTATTAAAGAAAAAGTTATTTGTTTTTTCATTTTTAAGATAAAATTCTCTTTCTATAACGATAAATATTTGATTGACATTTAAAAGCTATTTTATAAAGATTTTCAATTTCTCTTTGCGTTTTAGCTTCGATTTTTCGGATAGAATAAAATGACAGGCAGCCTACTCCACTGGGTCGAGTTTTGCTGTGCAAATTCCTCCCGTCGGGGGGTTATGTTTACAACATAAGCTTGGCAGCTTTGCGCTGATTGGCTAGTCGCATTTTCTCAAATCACCCAGCGTTTACTAGTATTGCAATATATGTATCTCGAACATAACTTAGGTTATGATTTTTATAGGTTTTCTATACTGTCTTGCTTAGCGTTGTGTACCCCTAACTAAGCCAAAGTCTAGTTACAGCTTGTGACTCTCAGTTGTCACTTCCTTTTAATTCCTTCTATTTAATTTTGAATATTCCATTAAGCTGTCAGATAAGAACTATAAGTTTGACAGTATAACGAGACTTCAAGACACCCTATTTCAGTTTCCACATTTTCACCTAGGATATCCCCACGTGTCTTATAGCACTGTAATATTACACCAATTTCAGATAGACTCCTCCCTTGTAAGCCTACACCTCAATGCGTACCCCAAAACGCTCTTCGTTGGTTTGGAGCCTTGTAGCATCGTTCATTTTGCGTATCTTTATAATATAACTTGATAGAAAGTTAGTTCTCTGTTAGAGAACTTGTAAAACATTCACTATATAGGTGATAGATTGACATTTTGTATAGGTTAGTTGATCTTTAGTTGGCTTTTCGTTCGATAGTTGGTAGCTAAACTCAGTGTATACAACATCTTTTTCAAGTTTAGTATTAAATATATTTTGATCCAGTACCGGCTCTTCCTGAGTAAATCCCACAAGACAAGACAAGAACCCCTGTAACACACTAGTTAAACTAGTAAGAATATGTCCAAGAATGCTTTCTCGAGTGTGCTCACAGCATAAAAGGCCTACAACAGTATTTGCTCATCTTGGCTGAACTCCGTCGAGCACTGACCATTCCTTTTGCCCATATTGTGGTCAACTATAAAAAGAAAGACCATCCTCTATAAGAAGTTTTAATTTAGGCGAAAACATTGCCTGAAAACACTTTGACAGGACCGCCCGCCTTAAGGGTCCCTAAGTATTCAATCCGGCAAACTAGCCTCACATATCTGTCAACAAATTTTCAAAATTGTTACTTGAAAATTATGAAAAATAAAATACCGTTTTTTGCGAGTATTTGTTGTTTATGCGGACATCAGGGTAGTCTTGTTTACAATCCACACGTCGACTTGGAGTAGCTATAGTGCACGTCCGCCTGCCTATACCCGGGGGTGCAGAGGGTCCGCCTGCCTATACCCGGGGGGGAGGGGTATTCGACCCCGTTTTGGATAGGTAAATTGAAGATCCATACCCTGCTCAAGACAAATCGGAAAAATAAGGAATCTCTATCTAAGACTCGAGGGAAATAGTATATACTATCTGCTTATCTAAATAAAAGCATCGTACCCATAAAACAAGGTCGGGAAACACTATTTTAATTAAAATTCTGTTTAATTTTTACTATGTCCTGCTTTATTACTACATGCTTTGTTTGACGCTCTGGACTGACTAACTACTATTATTGTTACATTGCTTAAAATACGTTTTACAAAATTAGACGAAACCCAAATAATAATCTGATATTAACTATAAACAATAACCAATTATGGCATAACTCCATACTGAGGGGAATTCCCCGTTTAGGACGACCTTGGATTATTCTACAAATATCGATCACGTGAACATTTTTAAACTGCGTCATAAACTTAACTAAAGTAATTACTTATAAAATAAAATAATAATGATATTTGAACATTTCACAATCATTCTGTAACTTCAATATTGATTTTAACCCAACAACATGAAAATTGCTGGACATTAAAACTACTGGTGATTCAAAACTCTTTTTACTGGTAATCTAAAACTACAAGTACATGACTTGGCATGACCAAACTAGAAAATTGCTGACGAATCACTTAAAACTGAGATCTACTATTAACTTATTAACATTGTATTAACTAAATGTCAAGGAGACGTAGTCTAACAACATCAAGCCGCCCCAAAATATTCCACCGGTGACTTTGATAAAATGCCATCATAAAAGCTACAACTAAAAATGTTATCAATACAATTAAAATTGATTAAAAAAACGATAGAGTCCATGTATCCCTAGTGTTGAACGCATTACAAAATGTCGAAAGAAAGAACCAATGTCTTTAAGGTTACTGAATTGTTGAAGTATTAGCGTTTTTTCGCGCTTTGAGGGTCATTTTACTCCTAAAACTTGGGATTTTATAATTTCAAGTTTAAGTTTAGAACTACTGTCAAAATTTCAAAAAATGATATTTTAAGTTCCCATGAAAAAATGAGTATTTGTTGAAATTTGTGCCATGACGGTACCGGCGAACTGAGTCGATTTTTGATTGCACGGAAAGCGACGAAACACGAAAGAATCAGGTGTTTATTTGCATTTTTGCCACAGATGTCCATGTATGTACTATTGTAGATTGAACTTATCTGGAGGATTTGGGCATTATGCTGTACATATAGAACTGATGTTATGCGAGTTATGTTTTTTTACGACTACCCTCGATTAGAGTGATTTTGCCTTCTGAAAGTCCCGCATAGCCCTCTACAAAATGTTTAAAAGGTCAAGTAAATACGCCGCAACCATCAAAACTGAAGTTATACTGACATCCATCAAAGACAACAAGACGTTTTTGATAACACGTTAATCCTGGTACAGTGAGACGGTATTTCTACTATTTCTACGGTGTTATGAAAATATTACCCTGTCCAAAGAACAAAAAATTGTCTCGGTCTTTTATCTAAATTGTAGACCCTGTTTAAGACAATTCCCGTTGAAATGTATACCCTGTTTAAGACAGCAAGGCCAAAAACCATACCCTGGCCAGCKGCACGTCCCCGTATAGTAAATATATGGGAGTGCCCCTTCCCCCCTATACTCGTCACGGCTCGACTATTACTGATTCAGTTGTCTAAAAAAAGTAGGTGAAATGACGTACGGATGTTTCGGACGTTAATCCTTCCTCTGAGTAAAGAGATGGAACTAGGTAGAGCGGTTTTCATAAACCCGTGAAACAAAGTGTAATAATTAGAGTGTAATAGATCGTAATAGTCGCGTAGAGACAATAAAAAACAAAAGAGCAAAAGTGTAATAGCGATAAATACGCTAAAATGTTTTTCACGGGTTAATGAAAACCACTCTAGTGTGAGTTTATATAATAAGGGTAGCAAAGGACGTACACCAATAGGAGCAAGGTAGACATGGCAACGTGAAATAAACAATAAAAGCAAAAGAAGTTTGTTAGGCAAAAGAACAATAAAGSTGCTAAAAAGGGAACAAAAGATATAAAAATTATCTGAAAACAATTCAAAACKTTCAAAACTTCACAGAAATGTTAAGAAAAACACACAAGAGATGTTTTAATTATTTTTATTGAAATTTATATATTTCAAAATAATGCTAAAAACCACAYAAACACCTAGCTTGGAATACCAATACTTGGATTTTTTCCTGAGTATCTGTCCCKTMACCGGACTYTCTATTTACTCCCCTAAGTATTTTTCGAATTTCATCTTTGCATRTTATCTAATTTCTMAATCGAAAAATTTGAACTTTAAAATTTCTCCCTTCCTTTAAAAAAGACTTATGTTCTTTTTATAGTTTTGACTATTTTCAGTTTTTGACCAATCACGACGCGTCTTTTGGAGAGATGATAACTATTTTTTTGTTCTCGAGATACATCCGCTGATATACCTTTTTRGAAATAATATCTTATCATAACATTTTATGTTCTTCTAGCTATATAGTTTAATAAACTATAATTTCCCTAAACATTATTCGCAGGATAAGAACACGTCATGTTTCATTTTGGACTACAGCTTTTCACACTCTCCAAAGTTTTCTTCGAGTTGCCACGAATGTCAGGATGCACTCGTAAAACATGGGATCGAGGTCTAAAGGTCGCTTCTCTACGGTCATCTGTGGTTTGGCTACTTTCCTGAAAARAAGGAATAAGAACATTAGCTTTAAGATCTGAATGCAAAATCTAAGTGGTGARGTCTACAGATTAGTTCAGACTAAACTTAACCATTTCATATTGAAGATCTGTCTTATTCTGTCTCTCATCTTAAATTATCTTTTTCGAGGCCACAATGCYTCAATATTTTCTGAAGATCTAAATCAGTGCATTTGCATTGACATGAAAATCCAAAACGTGAAAAAGTCTAAATAAGTAAATAAATTAAAATATGCAGTGGACAAATGTTGATGAGCCGTCCTAGATGGCTCAACACAGCCTTATTCAGTGGACTCAGCAGTTTCCAAAGCAATGTCTTACCACAGACATTTATCCAGCACGCCAGATTTCCGATTCGTTAATTACACATACCTTGATGATACAATCCAATTTTTTATCATCCATTGTGKCTCCATCCTTAAAGCTCTCATGCACGATACTTTGCAAATACAAGGTCGACAGTGGGGTACAACTCGATAATGGAAATGGGCTGGAAGTCTTTCTAGCATAATGCAGTGATGATTTAGCTAGATCAGCGTCATGTGAGTCATTTGTRTATATAGAAGAAAGAGCTTCATAAGGTAGAGTACGCAGTGTTGATGACCGACCAGCGTCGACACTTCGACTTTTATTTAATTGCTTTGATTTTTCTTGAGAAAATAGTGTTTGAGATGGACCGCTGTTGAWAAGAGGAGAAGATTTAACAAATTGCGCAMGGTTTTGAATTGTATGTCCTCTTGGCGTCATAAAATGTTTAAAGAAGCCATCCCAACCATGATCCTTTGCRCTTATGWWGTTTAAAKWCGGGCATTCATCAAACGTCTTAAATATTTTCAAAACTCCTTACAAAAATGCATATGTGAATGCATATGGTTCGTTGTCAGCTAATTAGGTGATGAATGAGATGTTTCATAAGATGATTTGATGATTCGAACTAAGAAACGGAAGCTGAACAGGATGAAGTAGAGACCGATCGAGCTCGTCAAAGGATTAGCAGTGCAATATTAGCTAACTCTAGCATTAATGAGTATTTTTCTTCTCTTTGGTAGTAAAATAACGGCTGATTTGTATTTTTATTGTCGCTTCATTATAGCTTTCTTGCAAAAATTCCTGTAGCAGAACGAAAACCGCCGAAATTTGCAGGCTSTCAGTGGAGCAAAGGTTCCGCAAATTAAATTCACTAATATTCCACTGCGAAATGCCCATTCTGTCCTTTTTTTCCTTTCAAGTTTCGTATGTCTAGTTGAACGTGATATGCCTTATTTTTTCTTACCGGAGTGGACGACCGCGAGAAGGTTTCGTTTTGGGTTCACAATATTCGAAATAATTAAAAAAAATGAAAATATGTTAATGAAATAAAGAACTAATATATTTCAAACTTATGAGCAAAAACTTAGAGATGTTTAAGATTTTAGACGGATTGTGTAAGCTACAAATAATTTCGACGTCGTTGAAAATGGCGCTGGTCAAGGTATTCGCGGTAATTCGAGGCACGCAAAGGATCATGCTGGGGCAGCTGCTTTCAACTCAAGTAAACCCATKAGCGCAAATGTTACAACATTTTAAATGATAGTGTCAGTACAGTGTGCATGCCCTCCTATTGCACTGGAAAAAATCGATCACTTTAAAAGGTTGCAAATTTGATGTAAATATTATGTACGTGTCCAAAATGATGTAAATTTAATGTAAATTTGATGTAAATTTACATAATATTTACATCAAATTTACAACCTTTAAAGCGCGCGATTTTTTCCAGTGTTGACACATACTAATCAACCAATCAGAGCTCGAACATTTACACAAGTGTGGTAAAACTTGTGATATGTCAGCAATGGACTTTTAATATTTGACGGGGAAGTTCAATGTTTGTTTTCTCCGATTGTTTGGATCGTTATAAATAAAATGCATTAAGACACATACCCTTGCAGGGACCTAGGAATTTTTTTGACTGCACTTGACAGAATTATCACAAAGGGGGAATAAGGGAAACCGACCAGCTGCATCTCCTCTTGGAATGTACTGCTTCTGCACTTTTTGCTCGTAATAAAAGCTAATTTATTATTACTTCACTATTAATATTGCCATAGTGTCAAGAATTATATCATCATATTACTATTACACAAGAATTTAACGCGAGAATTGCAGACCTTTTAAATCTCCTTTTTATGCTTTTCAAAAGCTCAGCTGTGGATTGTCTTCTTGTTCTATCATGGGTTGCAGCTTTGCCATCTAACTGGTCTTCGCCATCTTCAATTTCGTCTTGACTGGTATTTGGTTTATTATCTTCACTTTCGATTTTTTCTTGTTCTGAAATCTGTGAGTTGATCAAATTTATGATAATTCTATGAGGACAATACATTGTCGAGCGCAGGTAAGGATTTTGTCTTGAGTTTTGATAAGATGCACTTAAACTAGAGATTTTTCCAACAAGAAAATTCCGTATTTCAAGGAAAGATGGAAATTTCTGGTAATTATAGTTAGTGATGCAGACCAACTTTGCACAGTATCTYACCTGTTGATCCAGTGACTCTACTGCCGTGTTGTATTGTTTTTTAAGTTGACGAAGATCACAAGATAAGCTGTCGTTCATATCTCGCAATGCGGACAACTCCTTTTTGTTTACCGACAGTTCTCGCCTTAAATCCTCCACTTCCTTCTGTAAATACTCCGAAAACTCTTTATTATTACTGAGTTCTATTTCTTTGGATTCGAGAAGCTCGTTAAAATACACTTTTAGTTCTTCATTCTTTTCTGTAGCCTTGATGTATGCGTTGTGTTCTGCCTTCACYTGACCCTTTAACATTGTTGTTTCACCTTCCAGCCTGTCTCGTTCTTTTTTAAGCTCCATTATCTCRCGATTAAGACGCTTGACTTTAATTTCCATGTCACTCACATTGTTTTGGGAGATGGAAAGGTTTTCGGTGGCCTCATGCTGCTTGGCCACAATTTYGTTTCTTTCTTGCAGTACTGTGTCGTAMCGTTGTTTCAAGGCTGTTGTCCAGTTCTTGATTTCATCAAGCTCTTTTTCACGATCGTCAAGGCTGCTTTGYAACTCCATTACCTAGTTAACACAATGTACCTTGCAAATCTAAATCTGTATATTTTACCGTAACCATTGAATCAGCTAGAGCTTCTTATATCGTCCTTTTAACTATACATTAGTAGTATGAACAATATTATTGGAATTTGACAATTTATAATCCGAAATCTCCTCTTTTTTCTTGTAGAGCAGCCACACCAAACAATAGCCAATATCGTGTCCAAATGTCTCTTATTGTCAATTATATTTTAAATCGGCGTCAACTTCTATACCTGATTTTAATTATGATAATCATTTTTCGGTGTTTTCAATAAGCCTTTTTCCCGTTCAATGCGAGGGAGCGMAGTTTTATTATACAACAGACTTACTTGCGTAGAGAACAAAACAAAGCACGAAAAATAATAGTAATAATAATTAAAGAAATTTGAATCTTCTCMGAATTGAGCCTAAGCCTGTATTCTGGGAATTCAGGTTTAGCTTCAAATCAGAAAAAATGCAAACAGTTTGTAGTGGTATTGTAATGACAATATTTTTTTGTGCTTTCTTTTGTTTTTGGTCAGATTTCTGCGCATGAGAGACAGCGGTTGCTCGCTTTGAATAGAAAAAAAGTATTATMGAATACAACGCATGTTCCCTTTAGTCGATTATTATTTTTTTACTAGTGATCTTTACCTTAWACTGCTTTTCTCTGCATTCTTTCTTGAAATGATCGCAGTCTTTTGCYTCCTCAGTTCGAGTCCTGAGCGTCRCGGAAAGCTTCTTTGTTTCAGATCGTTGAAAAATATAGTTTTCATTAACCTTCAAAAACTCATCTTCAAGATGTTTATATTTTATTGTGTACTCCTCGAGCTAAAAAATAAAACACACTGATTAAACTTTTCATCAGGATGATTCTTGATTGCTTAATTGCACCTGTCGCTCAAATGAGAGTAAAGGCCGTTTGAGGGTTCATCAGTTTTCTTACATGTACATTTTCAGAGGTATTCTTCGTTTTTAGGTTACGTCACGGCRGCCATCTTGGAGRAACTTTAAMAAAGGATTTCTCATTAGTATCTATTGTTCATTYCTCCAACATGGCCGCCGGTCTTTTATCTTTTGAATCTCATGGGAATGAGTGTAAACGATCRAAATTGAAGTCGATAGGTTATTATAAGACCACGAGGTGGAATGGACTACCAGTTGATAGTCGATGAGACCGAGTGGTCTAATTGKTTTAGTATCYATCAATAAGTRTTTTCATTCGATCATGGTCTTTCATGGATAGACCATAGTTTAGCCAATCAGAATGTTTGATARCCCACAGAATAGAATAACCCATAGTTTGATGGATACTAAACGTTTTCAGGTCGAAAGYATCAGTCTACCTGGCGAGACTTTTCTTCGTATTTTTCCTGATTTTGTAAAAGTTTCATCTGGAGCTGTATGATGAAGTCTTTACTGCCGATTGTGTCTTGTTGCATTGCTTCGTATCGGTTGAGGAGAGTAACGTTTGCATCTAAGTGAGTCTTGGACGCAATAGCTTSAGTCTCCGCTAATGACATCTCAAGAGCTTTCAAGCGATTATTCAGCTTATTTTTTTCAATATTGGTCTGATTAAGTATTTTACGCAGGTGTTGGTCGTCTTTTAAGAGAGTGTTGTAACGTAAGGTTATATCACGCAAGTCATCTGTGACACGTTTTAGGTGATTGCTAAGAATATCCTGGTCAATCAAACGCGGGAGTCCTTCTCCAGAATCTTTGGATAATAAAATAACATGTAAAAGATAAAATATGAACTGGAGATCTATATTCATCATATAATTATCTATGAAATACCTATATTTCTCCATTAAGAAAAAAGGTGTTTTACGACAGAATTTGCTTTCACAATTGATTATATGATAAACAGAATATTACATGGTCGCTTGGAGATACGAATTCCATCTTCTCGTGTTGAAAATCTTTTTTACACTCGAAGATAAATTCGGTATCTCCGCGCGCCCATGTGATATCCTTTATGTCTGCTAGGCAAGCTGTTTAAACCTAACACAGATTGGTGTCGAATCAATATTTTATCTTACTTATCAAAMGTTTTGGTAATCTCTTCCATTTTTTTCAAATATTTTAAGAATAATTGGAAAAATCTCTAGAAAGGGACATTAACATTAGTGATAAAGATGCAAAAAAAATGATGCTATTCAATTGACGAAAATATGTACCGGCTACAATATATTTCTTTGCAAAAAAATATCGTTTGAAAATTTAAAATATGTTAGCTAATTTAAGTTATTTTTCCTAGAAACTTGGTATGTGTATGTGACAAGCTCGATACTCCATTTCTAAAATTCATGCTAGCGTGAATCGAAGAAAAAAATTTCTTGCACATCAAAAGTTACACGGAACAAAACTTTATCTGAGACCTTCGCTAGTGTTGAGTCATTTTCAGTGTTTTTAATCGGATCAAAACATATRCTTAATTTTAAAACATTCTTCAATTTTTTTCTTATTTTATGTTACGTGACTTTGGCTTCAGCGAATTTATTGAAACTCGTCAAGGTGGACTCTAGTGTTTATCTAAATAGAACCCAACATTTTCTTTAAAATGTTTTAAGAAGGCGAAAGTTTTAAAAAATCGATGTTTTTTTGAAAAAAAAAMCGCATTCGTTAAATAGCATTTAGATATTGCTCAATTTTAACATCAAACAGGAACCAAAGTCTAACATCAAATATCCGATTCGTTATTTTGCAAATTACGAAATAACCGCTTACTTCCACCTCCGAAACGTCAGTACAAAAATGGTTTCATTCGATGTAAAACGCTTCTGCGACGCATATGGATTGATTGGTTGGTGCAATTTTAGGGAGGTGAGGTGGACGTCATAACATGTGTGCTTGACAACTCTTCTTAAACAACGCAATTCTCAAACAATTGAAAACGACCTTCCAAGACAAGGCTTCAAGAAAAAGTAAGCACTGTACCACTACATAAATAACAGTTAAACACATATGTATATTAAGTGATGAAATTGGTTAATGTCGTGAAAGTGTTCATTGCATGGCGTGTGTGTCGAAGAAATGCCAAGCAGATTTGAAAGCTTCTTTTTTTCCTTCAAAACGGTTTCTCAAGTGTTTTGATCATCAATCTCTTCACCCACAACACATATTCATTAGATTTTTGGTGCCTGGGTACCGCATACGATATCTACTGTGTATCCCACAGTGATTAATRCACCAAAGTCGTTCTCAAAACAGAAAGAACAAGCCAATAGAGGACATTTCAGCTCTCATGAAAAAATTACAAAGAAAGTTACTAAGTGTYAAAACAAAAATGAAACATGCTTTCTGCTGTTTATCTCTTCCGCCTCTGCCATTTTTAAATTGGTTCAAATAAAATCAATTAACTTATAGTTTTACAATGGAACTTACCTTGGAAGTCTGTCCCATCTAAAATAGGGCTGTCTCCTGTTAGAAGTTCAATTTAAAGTTATTATCTTTGTTCAAATAAAAGATATGCTAAAACATGAAGTCTAACAGCACAGTGCCCCTGTGAGTTAATGTATATGTATTTTAAACAGGAAACCTCGCAAGGAAATATAAGATTGGAATAAATGAAGAATGTACGAGTGAAATTTCAGGATTCAACGCCAGTCATGGAGTTCTATAAAGAAAGCGCTGGACGTCATGTATTGGGTTTCACACTTGACCACTAGGGAAAAATCCCGGAAATTTTTTATAGGGAGTGAGCCGATCTTTTGTTTATATCATTCCACATAAACTAAAGTCTGCAAAAACTATAAAAAGATTATGTGGCCATGTGATTTTGAAATAGCTCCCATGCCCTTTTCTGAGAGATCGGCCACATGCAATAATAAATAAATAATGTTATCATAAAATTATMTATAAAATACTTATATTTCTGTCTTTCGAAAAGTTGTTATTTTCACAAATGAAAATAACACATTCGAGTTTTCTCCATATATTGGAAGTAAAAAAAAGGTATTTTGCGACATAATTTGCTCTCATATATAATTATATGATTAATAGAATATTCAATGGTCGGTTGGAGATAAGGGCTTGAGATACCAATTGTATCTTCTCGTGTTGAAAATCTCTCAAACATCTTCGCGCACCGTGTAATATCCTAATATCTATGTAATATAGAAGTATAAAATCAAGAAACATACATGAAACGACCTGTTAAATATATTACAATACTATACAATTCCAAGACAAGGCATTAGGATCGAAAGACTTGAGTCACAGAAACGACATGATAATTCTACGGCCTTTTTGTAGCATGCAAATCATGGAAAACCCCGAGAAAACCAAACACCGAACCCAATGATATAACCTATACTTTTGCCCTCACTCTCGTTCATTGGAAAAAACTGCTCGACGACTACCGTATCGTTTTGTATTCAGTTAATATACATGTAGTTGAAGTCGACATCTTCCTGTTTGGTGTTTACAATGCTTCATTTCACTTTCGATGTTTAAAACTTTTTCATGGCATCTTTTGAAATATTAATGTTTTTACTTACTGACTGTAGCCTTTTCCCCTGTTATTATTTCATAAAGATTTGGATTGATTAGCTGTAGAGCGTCTTTGAAATGATTAAAACCTTCTGGTCCTTTAGTCTCAATAATGTCCAGCACTTTTACAGCCTTCTGTTCACGAGTCTTCTCTGCCCGAACCAAGTCATAGTCATCGCGATCAAACACATTCTTGCTCAGCAAATAGTCAAACAAGAAGGAACGTTCAACTTGGAGCTGTTGTACTATATTGAATCTGTTCAAAGTAAGGATTGTTAAATGATCCATTTTTGTGTAGAGAATACTCAATAACGAATCGTATGATGTAATTCCTGACTCTGATTATAACCAATGTGCAAAGCTTCAGATGTTACAGTAACCTGAAAGCAGGTCATAAAGGTCTACCGTAATTTCGCATGAATCTAATACTACAGTTATCGTATTGCAAAACGATATTGACGTGAATAAATGTTACCCTACCCCACTGTTTTATCTTTGATTCAACTCGTGATTCACAGGCTCACTTTACGGAACTCTATCTTAAAGCTTTGAATGCTGAAACAGACACTCGATTTCATAAAAATTTCCTTTTTTTCGTTATATGTATTCAAAACACGCACCAGCAAAACTGGAATTATGCTTATATTTTTGTTCGAAGTTAAAATTGCTGGTTTTTAGTTGTCGTATGGTACCAATGGTCAGCAATGTAGTGTYTATTGCGCGTATCAACAACAGTGGCCGCTGATGATTTGATTTGCAAGGAATCTAATTATATGTATGATTATTGAGCAATTCTTTCCTTGAAATCATTATGTTAAGCGATGAAACATTTGGCTTTCGAAACTATATAGTTTTGACACACGTTCAGACTAAAACCAGTTACGTCTAATAATGATTAATGTTGTAGTAAAACTTTTAAAAAATGTGGGTACACTGAGCTACATCATGACCATTCCATAAGTTTCATCTGTTTTTTGTTTGCTTGTTTTTGTTTCAAATTTTTAAATCTGCATGACCGTCGACGTAACCAATCGAYTCGTTATTTACAYCTTTTCGCGCGCAAGAATATCAGAGAGGTTATATGGGATTCATCACATGAACAATTCAAGGAACGACCTTCACTTTCTTCCAATTAACTTCCTATTAGCTATAAATAGTAATTTACATCATCAGTGCCTTATTTCTATTGCATGAATATTTTACTGTTCCTTACTTTTCATATACTTTTCGCATATTGAGGTCCACCATCTATTATCCAGTGATAAGATTCTAGTTTCTAGTTGTTTTTATCGTGATACTTTCTTTTTCAAACAAATATACATTATTTATAAGATGTAAAACTTTCATTGCCTAGGTAATCGCACACATTCTCACTAAAGGCAATTAAGACATGGTTCTCAGAAAAATAGTGAATAATCACCAAATTAATTCTATAAATGTACTAGCCTTTCTATATAGAATTATTGTTGTACTTTGATAACGAGATCACGTGACGTTAGGTCAATATCTTGGATTTTTCCTTTTGAGCCTCTTGTATAATATCCAAACACCTTCAAAATAAGTGAAAATGCACAATCAAATAGTTACTGTCATTCATTAAGTAGATCTAATKGGAAATTTTGGTTAGCATTTGAAATATTTTTTTTGCCAAAATATAATACATACCAAAATACATACATTTGACCAGTTTGATAAAATTCTACTTTATCCAAGTTTATAGAATAATTTTGTTTAATATTCCTATTTTTCTGACAGTCATGCCTTAATTCCCCTGAGTATAAAGGTATATATAGTTTAAAGTGCACATGACACCTTTTAGAAAAACACTTTTATCCGAAAGGTAACACGCTGCCAAGTACTTCTGTGAAGAAAGAAATAGATTTTGAATTGTATTTTCTGAGTTAAAGACATTTGAAAATTGAAAATGCAAATGAAGTGACGTCAACTAAGGAATTGATCCAGACTTTTTACATTGTTTGCGCTATGCTATTCTTGGTTGAAGAGCTCAAATCATCAATCATAATAATAATTGAGAGCTGAAAATGCGTTTTCCAATGTAACAAAAAGAATAACGTTCTCTTTCATGATTTTGTATATTAAATCATTCCTTAGTAGACGTCACTTCATTTGCATTTTCCAAGTTTCAATTGCCTATAACTTAGAAAATACAATTTAAAATCAATTTCTTTCTTCACAGATGAACTTAGCAGCATTTTCTCTTTTGGATGAGAATGAATTTCTAATGGTGTCATGTGCACTTTAAAAAATAAGTTGTAATCTACCGTCATGTATAAAAAGCAAACAAAACTGTCTACTACAAAGTATAGTATTCTCCTACAGCTAAAACACTACGTATATAAATTAAAATTTATCAAAATGTAGAATGTAAACTCCAAAGGTGAAATTCAAACCTCTTACTTTAAAACTCAAAAAAATGTTRTTGTCACTACAGATGAGTGTATAACTGGGTTTGCATTTGATTCAACTGATTCTTTTCATTAGTAAGGACTACAAGGAGAATCTGGTGGAGCAGAACTACTTCTAGGTCTTTCGTTTTCTTTTAGACGTACTGCCATTGCCCTTTGACGAAAAGGCTTTTTAAAAGATGGCGATTGTAAAACAGATTCCAAGTCAAATGAGTCCTCATCTCTCGACCAATGTACCCCAGAAAAAGTGAAAATATTGGAATGATCACTTTTAGGAGAAGGCTCAGTCAAATGCTTCCTCAAAACTGGTCGCGAGTTTCCTGTGGTTGAACATTTACCAGCGAAGAACGGAGATTTGGCGGCTATTGCGGCGGATGGAGACCATGTTTCAGACTTTGCTTTGGACTGAAGCTCTTCATTCGACGTAAAATCAGCAGACGAATTGCTGATMCCGCTATCAGACAAAGCTTTGCCACAATTTTCATGATGTGATGGATTTTCTAGGGGAAAGGTAGTAGATGCAGTTCCACTAYAGARAGATGTTCCAGAAGGTGCAGCAATTGAGTCGAACATGCAAGCTAGTGTTGCATGTGCTGGGGTAACCTTGAATATGTTATTCCTTTCCATACTCAGGCACTTTTGTGCTTCAGGCGATAAGGCTTTTTTCTGTGGTACTAATTCTGCYAGGATGTGATCAGGGTTCTTTCCAATGCTTTGTTCCATAGAGGGTGGTGATGGAGACSGATCATCCTTACGATCTTTTCCAAGTCGTTTCTTAAGACTCTCAATGATGTTAGTTGTCTTTCGGTAAAGTTTCCAATCAAATGAATCCTCGCTACTCTGACTTTCCTCAGGGGAACTGTCRCCCACAGAGGTCAGAACCTCTTCTTCAAATTGCTTCAAGGCTTCGTTAATTGTCGGTAATGCCTAGRAATTAATGTAAAGCACAATTACACATACAAAAAAGAAGACCAGCTAGGGACGAATAAAATGCATTCATCAGTTGACTTTTACAAACAGATGAAAATTGCATACATGGCATAATGAAAGAAACCGCTTTATTGTCCTTTGAGTCWTGTATGTTTAACCCTACACTCCATCATGACCCTCGGCAAGAGAAATGTAATAACCTTTAGGACTACTTATTGAGTGTACATTGGCGAGGAGCATAGGTAAAGTACGAGCATTCATATAACACACAGCATATCATATTTATAATAGATGGCTACCAATGTTTATTTACACCAGTCATACATATCCCCAMTGAACATATCTAAGAATTTGACTGATCCAAGAATAAGGAGTGAAAATAAGAGAATGAAAACTAAAATCACTTACCWCTTGAGGGATTGGTGGACAAGGCGGGTTATCAATCGACAACTCTCTTTCAAACTTCACTCTTCTCAATTCTTCCATGTCGTGTTCTTTGGATGCCAATTGTTGTTGTATCAAAAGAAGCTCTGCGCACTTCTTTTCGTACTTTTCTTCATAGTGTTTGCAATGGCCAGTCTGCCTTGTAATGGTATCATCACGGTTTTTTAATAAATCATTATACCTCTGAACGGCTTCATGTAGGTCAYTCTGGGCCCGATCACGCTCWAGCATGATTTCCTTCCTACGAGCAATAAGGTAGAGGTTGTTTTGTTAACTCAGAATGATATTCAATCGAAACAAAAAAAAACTAAAATAAACATCAAATCCTAACCCTTAAATTAACCCAATCTTAACCTTAGCGCTAAAAATATTGCCGCAAATTCATGCTGCGTTGTAAACTTACTGCAAATGATAAAAAAATGAAAACTAGTGTGCTTTCACGAACATTTTAGAACGAATTTGTAAAAAAAAAACAGTTGAAACATATAGATACAGTATTTTTATAACTTCAGGAGGAAATCAAGCATTCGATACGGGTGTTGGTATGTAACAATAGTCCTTATCACGACCCGCGAAAAGCCTTGTGACGCAATGCATTTTGGGATTGATAAATGAGTAAAGCAGGAAGCAACGATGTCAGTTCTCCAGTTGTCTGTGACGAAGACTCAGTTTTCGAAAAATGTTGGGAAATATTGACATTGTAGTTAATCTCATAAGCATACTGCGAAAAAAAAACAAATATCAACAAGCAATAGGAAATACAACAACAAAAACCTCCAAAAAATGTACAGTTTTCATTTACTAGGCAAATCAAGCAAAAATGAAAACAAACATATTTTGTCTGTGGAAAAATCGAAATTAATTAGTGTTTTACGATTTTAGCGATTTGTTTCGATGAAGAAAGGGAGATATATWTCCCATGATACATTGCAAACCGATTTACATGCCGGTCTTGTAATATGGACAATAGTGGTCAGCGGTCAATTGACATGCGAGCAAGATAATGATTCGAACTCTACGCAAAACATAGTTCTCAGTCCAAGGCRAAATTTAAAAATGTTAGAGTGATTCACTTGAAATGAGACTTTGTTGCAGTATGTTACTTGTAAGTTACTAATATCAAAGATAGGGGAAAAAAATCATTCGTGCAGTTTTAAAGTTACGCGACTGCTTTTTAATGCATTTAAAAATACTTTAAAGAAGTTTAAAATAGTTCAAAAAAAATCTATTATTGTTCATAAAATAATCCGAGACGATTTTTCAAAGAGAGCATTTACAATATAAAATCTGTATCAAATATGTTACTGAAATATTGGTCTGGAAATTATTGATTTATGGCAATGGATTGTTTATATAAAAATATYCAGTCAAAGAAAAAGGACACTGATTTTCTCGAAAACGCTCTCACTGGTTTCCTTAAAACTCTTCGGCACTGTACGTCTTGTCAAAAGTGACGGATTTAAAAGTTTATTTCAAAACATGAGAAAAATTGAGCGCTACGTTTTAGCGCTACGTTTTAGTTCCGTCTCAGTTTAATATCTCTTCAAAAACAACCTTAAATACTTTATCTTTCCCATGCACTTTGATGAAGTTTTACGTTAAGTATCTTATTATAAGATGCTCAATTTGTGATTTGTAGTGAGGAGGTAGCTCGCAAAAACTTGCCTTATAAAAAGGTCTTCAAAAGCACCACGACGTTTTTGCTAGAGCGGATTTCGTATGACGGTGCAAAAAAACGTGTCCGTGTTGTGTGATCCGTGCTTTTGCACAGTCATACGAAATCCGCTCTATGGTCGTTGGTCATTGAGCAAAACACTGGAGGCTACGACACTTACCGGAAAAGAGTACATAGCCTATTGTTATTTTTTAAATATGTATATTGATAAGTCTGTTGTATTTTGTTCTTAACTTCCTCAAGGAAAAAAAACATCTCCCAGTAAGGGATTGATAAAAGCCAAGGGGTAGAGGTAGTGGACATTCAGACCCGTGTACTTCATTTTCGTCCCTAATTAAACAATTTTTTTTAATTTTTTTGTTTATTTGCACTTTTTTCTTCAACTAGAGTACAAACATTAAATGTGTGCARCACTTTCCACTATTTACTACATAATTATATAGCCACATATTAATCCCAAATAGGTAAAAGCTGGATTTTTCGTTMATTTTGGAATCCTGTCCAATTAAGAAATTAATTGGACAGGTTTTCAATTGGGTTTTTGTTAAAAGCTGTGGTTGGCTTTTACCTATTTGGGATCAATATGTGGCTATATAATTAATAGGTAATAAGACTCCATGCTGTCCAATTAAGAAATAATTAGACTCGAAAAATTCCTCTGACTGCCAAATTGGACTCGGCCACGGCCTCGTCCAATTTTTGGCAGTCCTCGGAATTTTCCTCGTCCAATTATTTCTTAATTGGACMGCATGSAGTCCTATTACATATAAAAATAGTGCTCATTAAACAATGGAAAACAGTAGAATTAGAGCAGTATTTAGTGGTATTTATGTTGCACAGTTTTAGTGTTTGTACTCTGGCTGCTTTTTTGTAAGGCTGCGAATCTAAGGCTAACTTCATTTTAGTACATTTTCGCGGGTACATTTTATTAAGAAATCTTCTGCCACTGAGAAAAGTGCAAAMAGCCTGGATAGATTATATAATTTCACACCAATAAGCACCAGGRGAATACCATATCATCGCAATCAATGCTTTTTTATCCCAATGTCGACATTAATAATAATGAACAACAACGCAACACAGCACTAACAAAATAAGGAAATGTGTTGATTCAGACACACACCTGCTTTCTGAAAACATGTCCCGCTGCTGTTTGAGTTGTCCAATTTCTGCAGATGCCTCACTGTACCGTTTCTTCGTCGATTCAAGTTCGCGAGCTTGAGATCTCAGTTTAAGCTCAAGCTCGTCAACTCTTTGTCGCAACCGGTAACACTCAGCCGCGATAGATTCGTGACTTTCTCTTGTTTGCTCTTTGTCTTTTTCTACAATGTCATATCTAGCTTTAAATACTTCAGTCCACTCTTTTAGACTATTCAGTTCATTTTGGGCCTCATCTCTTTCGATTTTCAATTTCTGAACGTTAAACTGGAGCTCACGGTAGTTCATCTTGAGCTCGTTGTAGTTTTGAAGGTCGGTTTTGTGGAACTCCAGTTTTTCAGACAACTTGATAGATTCGTGCCTTTGATGGTCGTAGTTCATCGTAACAAGATTAAGTTCCGYTTGCGTTTTGTGCTTTGCCTCTTCAGCATCGTGAACACGGTTCTTCAAGTTGGCAATTTTCTCCTGTGCTGTAAGTAGATGCATGTGTAAGGCAATAATGTAAGTATTTCTTTCTTGGAGGTCTCTTTGAAGAGTTTGTATCTTTTGGAGAGCTGTTTCCTTTTCGTTATTCACCGACGACAGCGACGACATAACATCAGAAGCATTCTCWGTCTTTTCCCTTTCGAGTTGTTCTACTTGTTTCTGCAAACTCTGCATATTACTCATGRCCTCAGATAATCTCTTCTCTAAAGCTTTYTTTTCGTTGGTGACTTGTTGGTAGTTGAACGTGATATCATTTAAATCCGTGTATGCACGCTGAAGATGGTTTGTCATTATATCAAGGTCGGGGATATAAGTATCATCTGTAGAAGAGAAAAGAATATAAAATGTATGTTTACGTTGAGTGAGTCACGTTTCTCAGCAGTTTTCTATAGGGAAAGTCCCTTACCAATTCAACCTCAAAAGAAATGCATTCATCGTTACAATATAAATGGGCAGTGAATGGAATACATCTTCCTCCATACGATGTTCCTTTTTTACCGAGTCACTTATATACTTTGAATATTGTCCCATATCGACAATATAAGTATATGATCTGTTAGCCAATCGCAGATATTCTATTTCGACCTGAATGACTTCCTTTCAAAATAATTCGTGTGAATTCAAGCATTTTCTGTGACGTTTACTTAATCGCATAATGCATAATATTTTGTATCATACTCAATAACTGAAATTGATACTCAACAAAAATTACTATACACCTATAAAACTGCTTTGAACATGACGAGGGTCACACTGAGGTTTTGACGCAGATATTTGTTTCTGTGTAGATGCATGTATATTGTACTACTAGTACTAATGATGATCATATAATATTAATGAATGAGTAGAGGCAATTTAATTGAGTTAATATTCTAAACTACACCTACGTTTGTTTTTAATTTTTTTAATACTAGGTCTAAATCRCTGTGATATTTGAAACGACGTTTTTTTTAATTAATTAATACTCATAAAGTAGTGCAACATTTACAAGATTTGGATAGTCTACATACATGCACAAAAAGTCATGCAAATTAGCKTCGGTCGAGTATAACCGACGGAACCTAACTAGAGTTCCAGCACAAATAAGCGCGTCCTATACAAAACCATTGAAATAGCTGCTTTAACAGAGCTGAAACGGTCTTGAGAAGCAAGTAAGAAAAATCCAAACAACAAAAGTCATCTTAAGAATTACTAGTCTTACAGTAGACCTTTTCTTTCAAATGGAAAACAAACGGATAGCATTTATTACAACATCGTCCAATTACGTACAAATTCATCATTATGGCAACCCACAATATTTTCATTAAGATGAGCATGAGAGTTTCAATTCGCAGTTGTTATCTAATCAAATGACCCGAGCCTTCGTTTTCGCTGGAAAAAAGGTTGTAAATTTGATGTAAATATCATGTAAATGTCCAAAATTTTGCAAATTTAATGGAAATCATTTACATCAAATTTACAGAATTTTGGACACTTACATCATATTTACATCAAATTTACAACCTTTAAAGCGCGCGATTTTTCCCAGTGTTTTCTTGCTCTTAGGCCCTCGTCTGGATAAGCGAAAATTTAGTTCTGATTTTAGAGTTTCGGTCTACACTCCCTATGACTGGTTTCAAATAGCTTTTGTTCAGAAGTGAAAACAGARAAGAATTAGCCTTTTCCATATAGGGAGGCTTGGACAGGATCCTTACACTGATATTGACAATCCTTTTTTCCACAACACGAAAATTACATAACAAGGAGCGCATTCAGATTGACAGATTAAGAAAGTATGCAAGCTTGATGTGTATTAAATCAAACGTTTTACAAGAATTTAAAAATGCCTAATTTACAAAGAAATATAKGCTTTTAGGTTTAAATTGCCCAGAAGCCATAAATTTCTAGAATTTTAAGTCCAACTTTCGTTTTTCACAGTAAAAGAAGTCTCAAAAATAGTAGTGTGTTGTAAAAAATAGCAGGAAGTCACGCAATGCAAAAACGTCATGACTACACGCAGAGAATGTGTCTCCGGAGGACTCTGGACTGTGTCGGACACTTCAAAATAAAATCTTATTAAAGATTCGCAAAGAGATCTTGTGCAGTCTCAGGAAAAAAAAACAACAACATTTGTGAAATTAGCCTTTTGGAAGTTTCCAAGCCCATAGGGAAGATAATTTGTTTTTGYTCAATATCTCTACTTACAGGACACCTTAAAATACTCTAAATGAAATTATTAACTTGAGAGTATTACAAAAGAACATCAACTAATTTAACGACTATCAATCTGTTTTGGTTCGAATAATTTGGAAATAATTATTGTATTCACACAGTATATTAGCTTAGTGAAATTGTAGCTGACGCGGTTGAACATAGTGCTCAATTAGTGCTCAATACACATTAGTGCAGAGCAAAACATACAATAGGTAAGCTACAAGGAAACACGCACGATTCTCTGWGACTCTACGTTTCGTGCTTACGCACTCGTCAGACAGAATTTAAACGAACGAGTGTGTAGGCAGTAATTATTATAAATTACATCTATTTTATTATATTTAGGCAGTATATTTCTCAAATAATTCAAAAACATCGTATTTTCTAGCAACTCATAAGYAGACTATTTTGGCTATATATGGAAGCAATGAAAGATGCGCGCGAGAATTGGCCAGKRACGTTGATCACGTCAAATGGGAGGGGGMATCCCCRCTGTTTGCAAATGCCGACTTCCGCGTTGTGCCTTTAGCTGACGTCACTCCAAATTCAAAACAYAGYAAATAAATGACCATAGTGCTGGGTTAAATTTATGCATACCCTGGTTCCAGAGGTTTCTMTGTGTTATTTCTCTGTGTAAAATRTCTCTGTTCTTCKCCGCGAAGAGAATAACACAGAGAAACGTCTGGAACCAGGGTAATTTAWGCAAGGTGTTAGGGGGAATYAAACMCGACTACTTTCAAATAATGTATGTTGTCTCAAATACTACCCGTAAATATTTTTTTGGGGGGATCCCTGGGGTGAATATTTATTTCATTGAGTATGTACTCTAATGGATACACAGATTATATCAAAATGTGACAACAGCCGRATGGCGACTTGTGTGACTGTTATTCTCATCATATTTAATATTACACCTTCAATGTTTCTTCTGTGTATTTATTACAGTTTTTATTTTATTTTATTCATTTATTTATTTATTTTAGCTTTGTCCTGAAGGATACACAAACTGGAAAATATATACTGCGTTAATACATACACTGGATATAAAACGTTATACACTGGAAAAAAATCGCGCACTTTAACGGTTGTAAATATTAAATATTATGTAAGTGTCCAAAATGATGTAAATTTGATGTGTAAATTTGATGTAAATTTACATCAAATTTACATCATTTTGGACACTTACATAAAAATTACAACCTTTTAAAGTGAACGATTTTTTCCAGTGATACACTAAGAATTGGGCAGGGACACCGCAACAGCGTGAACCAATTACAGCCTTTTGCACAAATTATGAGACATTTTTATATATATAAATATACCTAACCAAATATCAAAAACACCCAAGAAATTATGGGATACCGTCGCTGATATTTTGTCTGTAACAACCTGATGCTAGGCAATCATGACAAAATATAATAGAGATATACCATAATTTCTGGGGTGTTTTTGATATTTGGTTAGGTATATTTATATATATAAAAATGTCTCATAATTTGTGCAAAAGGCTGTACTGCGGACCTTATATATAAATATAAATAGCAATTAAAATCACATAAAACAACTAATTTCTTGGTCTAAAAACCTGTCTGAATTACACTTCAAGCAGATAGTTTTGAAACTCTTTGGGGCGTCCGGGTCACAGTTCATTATAGTACACAAGCATGGAAACATCRCCGAATAATTTCCTCTAAATTTTTCTGAACGCACGTAATGTCATCTAAGTGGAACGAAAAGACAATAGAGAAGATTGCGCACTGACCAAACAGTGCGCACGCCTATAATACGATGAAATTGCGCTATCCTAAATTTTAAGTAGTTTTGTTTGTTTGTTGTTGTTGTTGTTTTTTTCATGATAACATGTATAATAACCTGATTTGTTAAATGATTTGAAAAGCAATTATTCTGAACTGAACAACCGCTCATCCATATAAAAATATTTTGTATGTGCTTGATTGTTGCTAGAGGAGTCTAGAGCATCTTTTTTCACTATCATTGATGAATTGTTGCATACAAACGTCTATAGTTCATAGCTAGAAAACAACATAATTGACTGACATTTGAAAAAAGGAATCCAGTTATGATCCCTAAATTAATTTCTAAAGTACAAGTGGACACATTGAGGATTGATTGACAGAACAGGAAGTGGTGAGTGTGGAATTGAGTCGTTGCTATGCTRTATTTCCGCTTGTGCTCAGCAAAGCGCAAAATTATGAAAATTAACAAATAAACTATTAMAATTTTGCAAAAAAAAATCACAAATGAAGGCACTTACCTAATGTYCCTTTCTTCAATAGAGACATAATTGGATTTGGTTCTAAGAAAATAATAATGAGGAACATGGTTATTAATCAAATTAAAATGCCAAGAAAAAAAAGAAATGCATTTAATGCAAAAAGAATTGTTTGGATACAATATCTCTAATTATAACTTACGAATTTCAAACATTTTATTTTTTTCAGTTTCTTTTAAATGTTATCAAATAGAGTGATAACCATGTACATAATAGCTAAAAATACCACAGACAAACGAAACAATGGAATTAGCTCTTTTCAGTTCAACTTTAATTTTAGTAACACAAAGTTATAGTATTTTGTGCTATTTATGCTAATTCTTTTGTTTTCTTTTGTTCAACTAGCATTATTTTGTACAATTTAGTTATTAGTGTTTCCCGCTTTTATTGAATTTGTGTGAAGTAATTCTCGTGTTTGCATAGCAATGTCACTTTAATGTTTACAAAAATACCACGGATATATTGTCAGTAAACTATTACAATACCAGCTTATTTGTCCAAAGAACCAGAAAATGGGATAGCTTACATTAGATAACAAATCATATATAAGTTTGTTTGCTTGTGATTATCTGTATTTCAATGATCATTGAAGCTATTGTTACCAGAATTACCAATACTAACGGTATTTATGCAAATGTACACTTACTATTGTTCGCTTGCTCTCCAGTAATGGTTTCAAATAGTGCTGGATTAGACAACTGCACTGCATCAATAAAATGACGAAACCCCTTTTCACCTTTAGTGCTAAGGACATCAAGGAATCTGCCAGCTTTTWGCTCTCTTGTCTTTTCTGTACAAATTAGCTCGCAATCACCTCCATCGAAGACTGACTTACTACGAAGGTAATCAAACAAAAACGTTCTCTCCATGTGCAAGCCAGCAATCAAATCAACTCGTTTTGTTTCCAGAATATCTCGGAAGTCTTCACACTCCATATCTCTTATGAGTGATTGAACTATTCTTAAGCTTTTGTCTTCAATTAAAAGAGTAAAAACAGAGCGTAAACTTCCACGAGATTTATTCGACTGATTGCCCTTCTGCAGCTTTCGAGAATGACGTCAATCTCTTCTAACTACTTCCTGTTCTGTCACGCAAGATAAGAAGATATGGACTGTCAAAAAGAACAATAAAAACACCCAATTGACCCAATTTGCTGTATTAATTCAAATATATATATATAGACAAATGAATGCATATCTTCGAACTTTAGGAAGTATAAGCTTTGGGGTTTACAGACCATTGTGTAYGATTTCGCAACACTTTTTCTTTATAACTACTTGATTCTTAAAATACAACAAAATACCAAAGATGACATGYTGCCCTTTTCGCATTCACAAATGAACATGAAGCATGGAAAACATACACCTAAAACAGGCACAATAGAGGTCCCTTTTAGGGGTCATTTTCAGAATTTCCGACAAAGAACCCCCGTCCTTTGATATTAGGAGTCCCCCCCCCGGGGCTTTATACGGGCTTTTGTTCTGACTTTTGTGTTTGAGTCTTTGTTTGTATCATAAACTTAGTTGTTCGTATGTCGTGTTTTCCACAAAAAACCTATATATTTTCCCGTAGACTTGTACCATGGCTAGGAGAATAATGTTGTAAGTGTCACAAAAYCCTTGAAATAGACATTAGACAAATACTCCTTAATATGCTTTACTGTTTTATTTTGCATGTGTCTATCTGACTATTCACTTAAACAGTTACATTTTGTTAGGTTATGATCTTTGATGGCTACTCAGGTAGTTGAGTGAAGAATCAATCCAGCCGGGGGCGGATTTAGGATTTTTGAAAAGAGGGGGCCGGATGTGTCTTGTGTCCAATTGAGCGCTGAAGGCGCGAATTTCCTAGGGGGGTCCGGGGGCATGCCCCCCCGGAAAATTTTGAAATTGAGACCGTCAGAGATGCGATTTCCAGCATTTTGAGTGGCTATGATAATAATTTTTTGGACATTTTTTTGTCTTTTATTTTTATCCATTTTCTAATAACCCTTGATTTTTGGATTAAATTTTAGATAAATTTGAGGCAATTTTTTGTATTCCATTACAAAAGAATGTAACACTCTAGAGCCAGGGTTCGAAAGAAGGAATAATTAGCTAGGTAACCGCGCAAGCACGTGCGAACTCGTGCGTAGTCTCCTCGCCATTACTTTTATTTTTATCGTAACAAAAATAGTCTCCTCTGCCCAGAAACAGCAGCAAAGAAGAATTTAACAAAAATATATTTTTTAATATTCTCAATCTGTAATTTGCAACAAGAATGCACCTCATTTTCGTTCTCTTCATTTTTTTTTTCCATCGGTAAAGGGGGGGCCCCCCCCCCCCCCCCCCCCCCTAAATCCGCCCCTGCAATCTACTGTTAAAATTTACTCTTCAAAAGAATTATTTCTATTTTCATGAGTTTAGGTGGTATATATATTCAGCAGATGCAGTCATAGTCTCACATCATTGGCAACCATTTAAAAGTCCATGACATGTGTGTTAGGGGCCATGGCTCTTTACAGTTAGGAACTCGTTACGATTGCGTATCCCGTACCTTCCTGAATGAAAAAAAAAAAAAAAAAAAAAAAAAAAAAAAAAAAAAAACCACAAGAAACAACGGAATAGTGAATGTATATTCTAAGAAAAATGTATCAGTTCCAAAACTGCTAAATTTTCAGAAAATTGCCAAAAACACATTTAAAGTTATCCGAAAGTTATAAAGGAGGGTGGCTACCTAAATAACAGGAATTAAATGGATATGTTTAAGGATGTTAATGAACCTTTTTTCAGATAAAAATTTCTTTYATAGTTGTTTTTCAGATCAGTCCCATTCAGATTCATTTCTCACTTTAAATTCCTTAATTGTTAATAATTCCTATTTCTATATTTTAAAATAAAAATGGAACAACGAACCACCTCTATTGCCCTTCCCTGGTTCCGTCCTTGAAAAGGAACAAGTAACTGCATAATAATGGTTGATTAGAGTTGTGCTCTTTGGTCACTGTTTTTCCAGCTCACTAAATGAATCTTTCAATGTGAAATCGTTCGCGCGCAGTTTTAAATAGAAAACATTTACAAGAGTTTATTATGTAATATTGCTAAATATTACTAAATATTTCATTTACAATTCCTCCAAAACTTTTTGATACACACTTATTGTTTTTACGAATCTCTTTTGATTTGACCTTTACAGTTGAACCTGTACGTTTTACAAACACGATACTGTTGTTCTAAAACGATTGTTTGTTTTAGTAACATATCGATTACAAGAAACACATGTCGATGACCTTTTCTTGTTCMTTTTCTTTAGTCAAAGAATTGTGACACTCCCAATAAAGTTCCATCCCAGTAAGGTGTTAAAATTTATCGTTTTTACGCATGTGCAATTTTACGACGGATCATTTGAAGGTCTGTAGGCGTTCTTACCAGTCTCCTCTTTTACTCCATGACATACATATTAGGACCACTGCTCTCTTTGTCAACCACGGAGTACGGGATTTAACGTACGTTTCTTAAAAGTCTGCAAATATTTTCATTTAGAAATACATGACATGCGTGTAAGGACTGCTGGTCTGGACGTTAACCACAGAGTACTGGACAATTAACGTACCTTTCTTAATTCTGTGTAAACCCTTCTATTTAGAAATCCATGACATGCGTGTAAGGGCCATTGGTATTTACGGACAGCACTTGGCGACTACCGTATGTTCCTGGTTGGACAAAAAGCATAAAAAGGAATGAGTAGAAAATCGCCATAAACTTAACTAAAGCGAAGGGAATTAGTATAAAAGGATGGATGAGTATATAGATATATAGATACAACCTAATAGTGTGACACCAACAAAAAAAGGTTTTGTGAAGTTTCTTATCTTATCCTTCACTAAATGAAATTGTAAACGAACTAATCGAGTCTTATTTGGAAAATAGCTTTGATTGGGAGTAGCAAATTTTTGTTGGTCGTGTGTTGCGGTTAATTGGAAGATTGTTGCAATGAAAGTAAATTTAGTTTTATCCTTTTATCCGAGAGGGAGGCAGCATAACTGGGGAGCAAAAATTTTGTTGTTATTTTTTTTGCCTGACCCTGTTGGTGCAGACGAGAGGAATATGCTGGTGGGGGGGGGCAAGGTCCCTCGGTAGTAAGGAGCTAATTATACGAMAAAGCTCTAATTTCAAAACGTAATTCAAATATATGACTCATTTTAGATGAGTTAATCTTAAACATAATTTTCTAGTTATTAATTTACAAATTTTTCCTACCGAATTTTCTCAAATGTGCTAAAAAAGAAATCATATATATCTAGAGAGCTCAACTCGTAATTTTTTAGTTATTTTGTATTTTGAATTGAAAATAAAGTTTTTGTATGTCCAACATATATCTAATTGAGAAGGGTCTGTCGTAAGGCACTAATATACACATAGAAGCCTCTCATGTCCCTATTCAGTGAAGAACTTTTTAAAGAGGACGCGCATTAACTCATGAGTTCAATTCGTCTAAGTGGAACTGAWTTTTTTTGATATTGATGCAACGGCATTCATTAATGTAACCTCTGAAGCTTTTACATTGTACGTCATGTACCGTATACGCAATGCATTGTAGGATATGTTTGGGACAAAACATGGCGGATTTCTTTTGTTTTCTCTAGAAACTGAACCCACAATGCATTGAAAGTCAAGTAGTGACGTAAAAGTTTCAGAGTGTGCACATGAGAGTCTTGTATATGGACATCCATATGTGGAAGTTGTACGACTTTACATCTAYATTTACATCTTGGATTATAACCTTTTCAAAGGAAAGTTTTGTTATGGAGTAATTCCAAAGCAAAAGAAATTTTCGCCCCCCCAAAAAAACAACTATAAGCAGGGCCATATTCAGGGGTGGGGTGGGGGGGGCAGTATGCCCGAGAACCCCCCTTTCAAAGCCAAAAAAATCTAACAGATGGTGCAGTGTGTGAGGATTTTTTTTCACTTCTGCACAACACTTCTTTTTAATTAGAGCAACGCATTCTTTTCTTTTCTCCTTTATCGACTACGATTCTTTTGTACGAAAATCATACAATGATATTACATCATATTGACGTYATATGACGTSGTAATGACAATTTGGTATTTAAGGACCCCCCTGAAAATCCTGGATACACCCCTGACAAGAATTCTCTGCTTTTTTCATTTTTTTTTGCAATTTCTGATGAATCTAGATCCATTCTATAAACATGTATAGTAGGTTTTCTAAAAAGAAGGTTAGAGTCTTCCCTTACAGGATTTCATACCCCATTTTACTTGTGGACTGGTTGTATGTCCTGATGTGATCTTTGAATCAGAAAGAACCATCTCCTGTRGAAACAAAAGTCATCCTTACAAGTCTGAATATTCCTTTTATCAAAGCAAACAATGACAGATYATCAACTGTGTACCTGGCATAGTTTGGTGAACTCTTCATAAAGAGGCAGAGCCTCATGTTTGGCAATGTTGGAATGGTACCTAACCAGTAAAAAATGAACAGTTTAAYCGACTGTCTTCTGAAATGTTGTCTCATTTATCATTTTTGCTTAGAACACATTCGTATAACTCTATTTACCTATCACCTTTTGCTATTTCAAACATGCAAGCTTTTTGGTAAATAAACTAAGTACCAACTTGTTTTAATACCAATAATTATTCTAAACATTCGAGATATATACACTGAATTTCAAAGAAGGCATCCTGCTTTGTATTTTTGATACATTCCTTAATGTTCTCTAGGACAACATTTTCAAAACTTGTTATATAATTTATATTAACATTAATTATTAAGATTTGTTCTATCCAACAATACTCTTTTATAGCACAGTATATGACTAGTGCACATTGCACATGCATCAAAATTTATTAAAGAAAATTCATAGTTAAYGTTCTTTTATGAACAATTCATGAGGAAGACCAGTTGGTATGCTGGCTGAAGCACTACAAATCAATTCTATTGTTCATTGAAATAGGGCAATTCAACTTACTGCATGCTTTTCCCTTTCATCTTTCCTCCCAGTGTTGCCTAGGAACAAAGAAGTATTACATCCATCAGATTGTTGATAGGTTAGGGGAGATGCACTAAATCAATTAAATTGTATGAAATTATGCTGATTTATAATTAATATTTGATTCATGGGTGTGGCTAACAGATTTTTAACCTCTAGGAGGTTGCACAATGAATATTGTTAAATTAAATTAAATCAGTTCCACTGTTAAAAACGCAGAGGAATATCAAAATCGATGTGCTCTTTGTCTTGTTTCCCGACACCCTAAGAGATGTAGAAAAAACAAATTTTCAGAAACTCCAAATTGGTAGCCTGAGATTCCCAGTCACAAATTGTTAGACCAATCACTGTTGTACCCAAATCTTTATGTRAGCAAGAGATTTGTCCCAATTTGCATATGAGTTTATTCGAACTTCAATTTTCTCTTTAAAAACATCTTGAAGGCTTTGACAAAACATGTGTTAGCTTATTTTGGGAAAATATTTGCATCCAACTCAGTTGCAGCTCACAGTTTCATAAATTCCCATAAAGTTTGGACTCAAACATGTTATATAACTTACAGTCATATCCTGTTCATAAATATTATGTAAATATTAATTATTAAGCTATAGATAAATACCTGAGGAACAATAAGGACATCACCAGGTAGGTCCAATACTGATACTTTACTCCCGTCAGGCAACTCACTAAGCTTGATGTTTAGCACTGCTTTTACTAACAGAAAGATGAATGTTATATAACTAATTTACATACATTAATTTTAATTAAATCGTATAATCATAGTTCTTATGCCAATAATATAATAAATTACAAACACAGTAAAGGTAAATATTACTATACAATTATAGTTGAATCTCTCAACCCTCCAATTAAACTCTTTAAATGGAAGAGAAATCAATGTTTTGATTGGCAGAAGCCAAAACTTGGAAACTGATAGAAAAAATTTGAGGAATACATAATGCGATAACCACAAAACATATTTTTAAAAGAAAGATTGTAAAATAATTACAGGGAGGTCAACTCTACCGGATTTGCCGGGAGACTCCCGGTTTCAGATCGAATCTCCCGGTCTCAAGATTTTAGCCCTAAATCTCCCGGATACGCACGATATTTTCATAGAATGATATTAATCACTGACCATCATTGTAGATTTTTATTTTCAAAGAAAACCTTCAATGAATTATGTCATGTTTCCTTGATCTTTCGATACGGAACGAAATACCTACAGGCGTTACTTATGTATACTCGCGCATGAAAAATATATAAACTGATTATGCAACGTTATTTGTGACGTCATTCACATGGTGTGACGTCATACACATAATTGAGGGAATTTCTCCAGATATATAAAGCTCTGGGGTTGACATCCATGTAATTAGATGAATTATGTATCATAAAAAGTATTATAAAGTCCTTCTCCTTAAAAAGCAAGAGAATTTAATTTACTGATGTCCAAATGGATGTGTAAAATTTACCATATTTCACAAATGTTTCTGCACTAACAACAACTTAGCTGACACTGGTTGAGTCTAGTTTCAATCATATCTTTCAAAAGTGCTTTTATAGGAGAATGTGAATTAGGGCTTTTTTTCTTCTCTCAAAAATATTTTACCAGTTCTGTTCTATTTTCATTCAATGTCTTATTTGCTCTTTAGGTTTCCATGAAAACATAATRTTATCAATAATTGACCAGTCTACCTGCTTTAGGTATCATGTCCAAAGAAGCACCTTTCAGGAAACATAATAGTACAACAATACCACGGTTGATCTAGTGAAATCAAATATGAAACAAATTGACATTATTTTCACTCTACATAATTATATATCCACAACTTTGTTTTGTCATTTTGAGAAGTGGAAAAGGAAATCAAAAGCCTCAAAGTCCTCTTGGGTTTTGAACATTTTCTGATGTCAAGTCAGAAACTCAAATTTGAACTCCAAAGAGTGTGTTAAAAATAGGATATAATAAAACTCAAACCATTTCTTATGCTTTTGACTTATAAAAATTAAGAAATGGCTCATCATGTTATCATGTATCAATTGAGTTATGGATAAAAACCAATGCATGGTTGCTAAGAACAAAAAGAAGGGAWATGAGTTGCATGACCACCACAGGCAGCCCAAGCATTAATTAGAAKCATCAATTTCTGTAATTTTTTGGTACTCGTTATTGAAAGTGGGTAAGAAAAAGAATGCTGCAAGCCTWTATCTCATTAGTGTGTGCTCTTAAATGATTCCCTGTGGTACTACGTCTTAGTTGATAAAATAAAATCGATAAAAATGATAACAACAGAAATGAACCACATATGGATTTTCGATTTCCGATAATAAGTAATTAATTGGATGGATTTAGTTATTAATTATGCTGAGATGTTATTTATTTGTTATTAGTTATGCTGAGATGAACTGGGCCATAACAACAGAATGCATTCTTTATTTAATAGGTCCTTTGCAGCTGSGGGTCACGTGACCACACCTACCTACCTTAAATCAATCAGCAAGACAAAATGGTATTCAGAAATGGAAAGAGGGGATCAAAATAAGTAAGAATACATAGTTTCAAGTCTCAACACTAGATATTTCAAAATTGATAGCAAATATAAAATCATTT